TATATATTTGTGTGTGTTTACAAACTTAAACGGATATTTTTAGTATAATGTGTGTATATTTATAGTACTATAAAGGATATATATCAGCTATTGCTTCTTTTTATGAATTTAAAGTTTTATTTATATATAAACAGTATTATTTTAAATTTTACGAAATTTCACGATTTCCAGGATACATTGGAACAATAGATGAAGCATATCCTATAACAAGTCTTGAGGGAAAAAAAATGCAGAATTCTATCAAAACAGAAAAGGATATATTTCTTTAAACTGCCAAATAATTAAAGGTCCTTCAAAAGAAATTTTTTCTGCTTGTATTTAATGGAAAAGATATGTTCACGTATCACAAGATTTTAGCAACTCAGCCATTAACCAGGTTTTAGAAGGTCATCTGCACCTCCATGTTATCGGGGACAACACCCATATTATCAGCACTGGTGTGGCAGTGGAATATTGTTTTGGATATTTTTCAATATCGTTTTTATAGTATTTTATAGACATTGTATCTTGCTTTACTATCACAACATTGCCTTTTAACAAAATGATCTTTAGGTAAACGATAATATGTAAAATTATAACGAGGAAAATGGTTCCAAAGCCTCAACAAGGAGTTTTGTAGGAAAAATTAAATTAGTGACTTGATTCTTTTTATAAATACTTAACTTATTAAAGAATAAAAATAATAATGATTGAACAATATCAACAAAGAAAATCTTTTTTATTGATAAAGTAAATGAAAAACTCAATTTGAAAAAAAAAAGTATTAGCTTGGAAATAAGAATAACATTCAAAAACATAGATATGCTCTATTAAAATAATCATTATAATTGTGTTTATTAAAATCGGTGCATTTATTGTAACTTGTCAATATTTTTTAAAAAGTTTTATTTTAATGTCTAACACTTTTGTTATCTTTTTTGGCTTTTCTGGTACCTCAGGTTTTCTGATAATATCAGAAGACATTACTTCAAATATGAAATTCTGTGACTCCTTTGGTTATTTGTTATATTAAAATATTGATATTGTAAAATGCTATATGTAATTATTATAAAATAATTATTATAAAATTTTAAAATAGAATTAAATAATTTTGTGGCAGTTTTTGCAAAACGTTGTCTCTTGTTAGAATATTTAGGCCAGTTTTACCAGTCTTCTTTTCCTCTCTTTTACTAAAATTCAAAAAATAAATAAGTTTGTTTAGCCGAAATTAACTGTTTATATAATAACCTTAATAAATGCAAAAAACTTTTTCTCTAATTTATATATCGACAAATAGGCCAAACTCTTTCTGTCGCTTCAATGATACATGTCAGCTCAAACTGAGGGGCAATTTTTTTGCATAGCATCCTTATTTGACATAATTTTAAACATATAATTGTTTGAGCTTGCTCCGCGTTTTAGGGTAGCTATCTCAAAGACCATAAAATGCTGGATTCGGCTCTAATCTATAAAGATTTTGACCCTATCGTTCTATTACTGACTTATTAACCGCTGTAACTAAAATAGGTTGTGTCGTACATTACATGAAATCTAACTTGTATTACCCATTTCCTTCTAGTGACTAGTTAGAGACTTGGACTAAGTAGAAGGTAACGTGAGCATGTTCATTTTAAACCAGTGTTTTTTTAATAAATTGACAAGTTTTAATTAAATACAAAAAGTAAATGTATTATTTTTGTAACACTTTATAATTTATTTTTGTAAGTTACTAATTTACAGTATAAAGCTGTGAAATATTATTTAAAAATATATAGTTAATTTGCTTTATTTAAAAGGTTTTCCGTTCTCAAATACTCTGCCGCTATTGGTTGCAAAGTTGTTTTTTTTCTGATTGCGCCTTTAAATCATCGCCTTTAAAGTTTTCAAGTTTGACTTTCTCAAGCGCGATCTTGAAATTTTCAAGTTTCGTTTACGCATTTGCTGAGGATTTTTTTTGAAGTCTAACTTGACAAAGTCAGACTTCAAAGTTCAAGTCGAAATTCACTTAAGTTCGCTTCTTGCATTCCACCCTTAGATTGTGACAACAAAATTTTTACAGTATTTTACTAGAAATTCGTTAGAGAATTTGACTTGATTTAAAATCTCTAAAGGAGTATTTATAGACAACATTTCTGTTTTCCATAATATAACAGGAAGAAATGTTCAAGTTTGTGAAATTAAACGTGTCGACTTCCGTTGTCTCAGATTCCATAAAGTAAATACATGTTGATAATGTATAGGCTATAACTTTTTATAAGATCTGTAACGGTATCTGAGACAATAGATTATTTTAATTTTGTTCAAACAGTTTTAAAAAAAAGCTATAAATCGCAAAACAGTTGGCTGCTAGTTACTTAAAGAAAGCGATGTAAAAAGGATTAGAGTTGAATCAAATACTTCCGTCGATTAAATCTTATTTTTAGTACGACGACGAATTGCATATTACTAAAGAAAGATATAAAACAATTAAATTTAAATGTTTTTTTTTAAAGATAAAAATTCTGATAAGAAGCTTGTACTGATAAATCTTTTTATATGAAACTAGTAGATGATCACGTGAAACTAAAAATCAAATGCAGAAAAAAGCAATGTTGATTTTTTACTATACAAAAGCACTTTTTATTTCCTATGAGTGCCACAATAATCTTTCTTAATAAAAATATTAGTACCTTTTAGCTTTGATGCGTCATCAATATTTTTTATTATTATTAAAATTGTTTTTTTTTTCTTTTGGTGCCATAAGAAGTCCTTACGGTCTTATAGGGAAGCGGAGCACCGCGAATAGCGGAGCACCGCGAATGAGTATTTAATAAGAAGTTCACGTCTCCTTTCCCACCTATCTCGCAAAACTTGTCCAGAGGTGGGGTTTGAACCACGGATCTTACGTTTCTAGGGCAAGTACCACCAGCCTCAAAACAATTGTTCGTTTCCAATTATAAATCAAAACCCCTAGGTACTCTTTAAAATTTTGATTTTTTTTTTTAACTAAGTTTTTTATCAAAACTTTTGTTTGTAAAAATTCATGAAAAACTTGTTTGTCTGGGATCTCTTTCAAAATATTTCATTTAAACTAATTTTTTAGATATTTTAAGTTATTTATGCTTCATAAGTTTTTATTCCATTCTTTCCAGTAAGTTGACAAGAGAAACCGTAGAAAACAGTAGACATTTGTAAAGACTTTTTATTTTGTGCAATCAATTAAATTTGAACTTGAAAACTGGTTAAGCTTATAACGTTTTTGAATAAATTTTCCTTTAAGTTTATGGCTAAAAAGAATTTAAAAGTATGTAAATATTTAAAAATAGCTATTGGTTTGAGTTTAGTGAAATATTATTTTACTTTACTTGTGACAGTTTTTTTTCTGAAATTACGGCTTAGCCATAAATATGGCTAAGCCGCAATTTCAGAAAAAATGTTGAAAAAAATTATGAAGGATTTGAGTGCTGAAATTTTTCAGTTTTTAGCACTCAAATCCTTCATAAAACCGATGATCCGGTTTTAGCATTCAAATCCTTCATAAAACCGGTGATCCGATACCATTAAAAATAAAATAAAAAATTTACATCATTTTATACAAAATTCGTAGGGAAAAGGTGGGCACCATGGCAAACGTTTTGAAGGCTCTGAGTTATTGCAAAACTATCAATAGTACTGTATCTGTATGTTTATTTATCATAACGGCCCATTGCCCGCATAAATTTTCAGTTTGCAATAGAAAAATTTGTAGTAAAAAATTAAAATGAAAAGATCATAAATTTTTAATCTGGTCAGTGTGACCAGGCTTATTAGGTGTTTTCTGTCTCCAATTTTAAATTTATTAAAAAAAAATACTAACAACTCGAACTAAAGTAATACATAACAAACACGTGTTGTAAAAAAATATCCTTAAAAAAAAATATCTAAGGACACCATCCATTAGTAATAACCGAAACCGAGTTTTTTTCAAGTGCAAAAAATATAAAACAAAACAAATTACTTCAATTACTGTTTCTTAGATTAATTTTTAACGAAATCTACTTATGGAAAAAAAAATTTAAAAACCTTTTGTATTAGCATGACAGGCAATTTAAACTAAAATCAACAATATATTGAGTTGTTTATATTTTATGGTTTAAAGATCATTTGAAAAATAAAAAAAAGAGTCATATTTTAGTTTATTTAAAGAACTACTTTTTAAGTAACATTAAACAAAAAAAATTCATGTTGTAAATTTAATCTTAAAACTTTGGGAAATTTTTAGTTCAAATTGTTAAGTCTTTATTTTGGAAACAGTATATATAAATTTAGCAAAAATCGAAAACTGAAAAAAATTAGAAATTAAAAACAAAATAACTAGTATAATAACACAAAAAGAGTGTGACCTAGTGAAATAAGATTTAGAACTTTTTTTGTTTGTCTGTTCATTGTTTGCCTATTTTTTGCTTGTCTGTTTTTGTTTGATTGTTTTTGTTTGATTGTTTTTGTTTGTCTATTTTTGTTTGTGTATCAAAAAAAATCCTTTCTTTCAGCTCTAAATATTTTTCAATCTTTTATTTCTTATGTTTTTTACGTTGAAAACCTCATTATTCTTTTTATTAATAGCTTTAAAAAATTTTCTAAAACTATAATTAAAATGAATAATTAACATTAATTTTAATGATAGCTGAGTAAATGAGTCAGTTTTAATTGTTCTATGACTGCAATATTGATTTTTAGGACGTCGAGACTAGTTTTTTTTAGGAAGTGGATTTTTCAAATTTTGTTTTTTTTGCCATACTTAAAAATAATTACACATACTCGGTGAGATAAAAGTGCGATGTCATATTAATAATTAATAGAGATAAAATATGTGAAGTCATATTGTTTTTATTGTTCTTGACTTTGTTAAAAAATGCATTCAAAAATAATTCTTATTGTTTTAAAAGAATGCGGAAGCATTTAGGCACACAGCATGCAATACTAGAGGCAATTTTAGGGGGATGACGTGTGTGTGTGTGTGTGGTGGAATATACACAGCAGACAATGCTCCTACTATTTTGATTGTTTTGCAGTTATATAAAATTATGTGTGTGCTTGTTATATTTCCTTCTATGATTTCAAATGTTTTCTTATCATTTACAAAGATTACTCCACATTCTTTTTATACTTGAACTAACCGACTTAATTGGTGTAGACGAAACAAAAGCCGATAAAAACTAAAGTTTCAAAAAAAGTTGCCTCACTAGCTTACCAGGTAAGGGCCGAAATTACCTGGATACTTATATAGTTAAAACGGCTTGCAACAACTCCTCGCAAGTTTTTTATAATATACAGTAAAAAATTGTAAAAGGAAACAAAAATAAATTTTCATTTTGATGTTTTGGTTTTGGTTTCGATTACAAAAGATATTTTCATTAAAGTTTGATTTGCTGTTTAATCTGTAACTTATCAAAATCTGTGACTTAAACAAAAGCGATTGCATTAAAATTTGTGGTAAGCTATAAATCAAATTTCTATAGCTTTCTACTGACTATCATTAGCATAAATTTGCATTAATAATAATGTCGGGACCATTTTTGGAAGATTCGTTTTGTCAATTCTTTCAATGTTCAAGGATTGATGATGATTCCAACTCTAGTAAAAAGACACCTGTTAAAAATGATGAAAACCAGTTTGGTGGATTTGATGAAAAGTTTGTTGATCCGCTCCCAGATGGTTTTGTTTGTCCAATATGTTTCTTGGCATTACGTCAACCCATTCAGACAAAAGACTGTGGCCATCGTTTCTGTTTGTCGTGTTTCAATCTTCTCAAAAGGTAAAGTTTTTTTACAAAACTCAAAAATTTTCGCTTAATTGTGTTAAACTTGCATTATTTTAACATATTTTAAAAAAATTTTTATTTATAAAATTTTTTCGCCATACTTTTTTTTTATCACTTGCCACAAAACAAAAATTAATATCTATAAATTATATATAATTTATTAATATCTATAAATTATATATAATTTATAGATTAATTTTTGTTGTTATAACAACTTATAGTAAAGTTTGTTAGTATTACACAACACTACCGAAATTTTTAACCGAATATTATTTTTATTTACCTAATATTGTTTTTATTTACCGAAAAACAAATTTTTTAACCGAATATTATTTTTAACGTTTTCCAAAAAACTATTATAACATTTGTTATATTTCAGGTTAACTGTAGTTAATCTATCACAAAACAATGGGCACAAAACATATTTTAGACGTAATAAACGTATTAAAACGTTGCAACACGTGTAAAACACGTCTTGTACCCACTGGTAACGGTCTCTGGTTAATTTGATAAATAAAAACCGGAGTTAAATATGGTAAAAATATAAAAATGTTTTTAAGATAAAAGTATAAACGTGAAGTATAACATGCTTGCACGTTTTAAAAAAGTTTCTTGTTTAATAAAAGTTATAGTTAAGTGTCATAATTTATATTAACTTGAGTTTTACGGGAATTATTACAAGGAATTATCACATAAACTTTTCTAAGAATTTAAACTTTACATTTCAGTTTACAACTAAACTTAGACATTTTCTAGTTGAACCAATTTTAGATGTTTTAAAGATAAGCGCAGAAAAGGTTGACAAATATAAGCATTTTTTTTTTCACAAAAAAGTCTTCGTTTTGTATACTTTGATAGTATGAAATAATAATGAAAAGACAAAAAAGATAATAATAGTAATAAAAGACAATGATAAGATAAGCGGAAATAAATAGGTTTACATAGACGAAACTTTAAGAATAAGCGTAAGTAAATGGTCATACATCAATTGCTATTGATTGCCGATTGATGGATTATGTTTTAACGAACAACTAATAATATTGTCGAAACATAAAGTTGACAAAATTTAAAATCAACGTAATTTAATTGAAAATAAAATTGATTTAAAATATTGTAGAGCAAAAATACCGTTTGCAAAAAAGGCTGTCATTACGAGAACGGTATTTTTTATTAAAAAACGTTTGTCCATTGCTTCAAGAGAGAAACCAAATTAGAGAAAATAAGAAAATTTTCCATTTGATTACATAAATTTATGTACATTATAAAATATGTTATTCACATTTTATTTAATGTAAATATCAAAATGGAAAATTTTCTTATTTGGTCTAATTTGATCTCTCTCTCTTGAAGCGTTGGACAAATATTTTTGCGGAGACTTTTTGAGGACATGATTTATCCAATAGTAGTCAGCAGACCTGAAAGACAGGTCTAGACATCTTCCTTTCTTTTTTTTTCTTTTTTAATTACTTTTTTTTTTTTTAAATAAAATAGTTAATGCTCTTAACAGCTTATAAAAAGCAAATTTATTGACTTAAAATATTTATCCTAAAAATGTAGGCATCTTTAAAATATGAAATAAATATATTTTTAATATAAACGTTTTTTTTTTTTAAGTTGTTAACAAATTCAATGCCGGCGACAGTATTGATGCGTTTTTATAATGGTGATGAAAGTTTTTTAGAAAGCTGTATTAAGTAGTTTCGTGCCGATTCAGCAGATTTTTTAATTTATTTAAAACTTTTAAATAGCCTTTTTCGCTCGAGATGTGAAACTTCCATATAATAGGATAAGTTTCAAATTAATTTTTAATTATCATTGCATCACTTTGTAAACCATTAAGCTTCTAAAGAATATTCGTTTAATAAAAATTCATTTGCAAGCTGTTTTTTAAAATTTATGCAAAAATAATACATATCGTAATTTTTTTTATTTGTAATATTTGGCAAGTGTCTTTTGTCTCAGCGCCTCCCACCCCAGTGGGCACCCGACGTCAATCCGACGTCGGATTTACGTACGATTTTCATCAGCGATGTCAAAAGACCTATTCCGACGTTGTTCCGATGTCAGTAAAATGACGTCGGGCGATGTCTTTATCTCAACATCCCCTGACGTCGTTTCGATGTATTTTGACGTTGTTCCGACATCTTGTAAAAGACGTCCAAAAAACGTCGCAGTACTGACATCGATCCAACGTCGATAAAAAGACGTCGGGCAACGTCATAATATTAACGTACTCCGATGTCTTTTGACGTCTTCCGACGTCAATCCAACGTCCTTAAAACGACGTCGGAACAACGTCGTAAGACATCGCTGATGAAAATTTAATCCAAACCCAACAATATGTGTGCAATTGCGCTCTTCAATAAATATGTGAACTAAGCGTGTTTTTTATTAATGGAAAGAAGTTTGAATAATGGTTGATAAAACATCATGAGGTTTTGTATGATGCACTAGCATAGTTTTTTAACTATTAACATTTTCGAGTATACATTTTTTATAATATATAACTATTCGTTTTAATATTTATATAATATTTAAACAAAATTATTTCTTATCAAAGAAATAATTCCCAAATAGCTACAAGTATAAATTACTAAATATACATAATATATAATAAGTCCCTGTGGTGTAGTGGTAAGCGCGTAGCATATAGTTTCTAATAGACCGAGGTTCGATTCCTGCCTGAGGCAACGTTTTTTAGTTTTCAAAAAACACGTTGGATTTACATCGGAATGCCGACGTCGCGCGATGTCAGTTTATCCGACGTCAAATAACATTTCCATTTATAACGTAAACCCAACGTCGATCCGACGTCGAGATCCGACGTCGCTCGACGTTAGTTCGACGTCGAAATGCCCACTGGGACGTAATCTTTTGAAATTCTGGTAGCCTTGATTGCTTGCATTCTTTTTTTGTTGTTGTTGTTAGGTTCAAGTATATTAGTAAAAATATTTTTTTGTTACTTGCGCAACTAATGTTTTCAATTGTAATAATTTTTTTTTTTTTAACTTTTTTTGTTACAAGAAAAATTTTATAAAAACATTAGTTGCGGAAACTGCATGGAAACAAGCGCCTTTGATTGCTTTTATCGATTATTGCATTTTGCTCTACCAACATTAATTTTACAGTCATAAATAAATGTTCTCCAGAACTCTTTTGTATACAAATTAAAAATTTAATTGTGGTTATTTAATAGCGATTGTGATACCGATAAATAAAAAAAATAAAAAATTTGATGTATGTAAATTGATGTATCTGCAAATATTGTATGTATGATACTTCTGGAAGTTAACCATCCTTTGACAGTGGTTTAGCATTTTTGTCGGTCGAAGCGTAAATGTAAACGCATCAACATTTGATAATTTTGGCTTCACACACAGCGACACCATCACTTGGCTTTCTAAATTCTTCTACACAATCTTTTGAACAACCTTGAAGTGCATTTGGATGTACCTAGTGCAGGGGTCGGCAAATAGTGGGCCTTTGCTACATTATTTGTGGGTCCCAAGCCACCCAACTGCCTATTATATAAAGTAGTGTAGTTGTGGGCCTTTTAGTTATTTTCCGGGCTGTAATAATTCTAAAGTCTCCTTTTAAAATACTCACCAGATCTTGTCATTTTAGTCATACCAAAAAAATATTGTCCTTTTTTTTTTTTTTTTTTTATTTTATTTTTTTTTTTTACATTTATTTTGCTGTTTAACAAATACAATCAACACATATATATACAAGAAAGAAAGAAATATGTCCGTATAACAAAGAAGACAGTACAATCTTGTCAACAAGCACCGTTTTTGTATATACAGTATATAAAATAAACTATACTTTTTTACAATGATCTTTATAAAATAAAGAGTTAAACAGACAGGGGCTCAAAGAAGATGAAGATGACAAAACGTCATCGCAATCTTTTCATAGAGCCCCCTATATACATTTTCATTAGGTTATGGATATTAAATTAAATTAAAAACCCTAATGGGCATAAAACTGCTGCGCTGATCAATAAAAACAAATAAATAAGATTATAAAGAAAATTACTTTTAATCCTTTTAAGCACAAATAATAATCAAATTTTAAAAATTTCTTTTTTTATCAGAAACTTAAATGAACTTAATGACTTTGCCATACATTTGGATCCTTTTTGATATCTATTCCATATATTTGGCCCCCGATATGCAATGCTATATTCAGTATATTTATTAAGGTTTTGAGGCAGTTTATATGTGTTACTTATATTTGCTCTTAGATAGTAGTTTTCATTTATGTTTATTTCAAACTTGTTAGTAAAGTTTGTAGGAGAGAGATTATTATTAAATTGATACATAAAAATTAAATGCTGATAGATATTTATTTCAAAAACATCCATCATTTTCATATCTTTCATTATAGGTTTTGCATGCTCCCGCTTATTTTTAAAGTAAATGATTCTGCATGCGTATTTTTGTAGACTATAGATTTTTTTAAGTTTTGATGGCTGAGTACTTGCCCATGATATATTTGCATAGCTGATAAAGCAATGAATTAGTCCAAAGTAAATTAGTTTTAGACTTTGTTTATTGATATATGAGCGAACTCTATACATCATACCAATTATATTACTGATTTTAGATTGAATATACCTTATTTGAGTAAGCCAGGATAGCTTCTCATCAACAAGAACTCCTAAGAATCTAATGCTGGCTTGTTTTTTAATTAAGTTATCATTTAGAATAAGGTCAGGCAACTTAAGAGGAAGGTTTTCTTCTTGCGCCTTTTTATGGAATAATATATATTTTGTTTTCTCTGAGTTAAGCGAGAGTTTGTTAGCTCTAAACCAATTATTTACTTTAATTAGTTCGATATTCATGTCTGCATATAGATTCTTGATATCACTGTTAGTAAGAAATAGATTTGTATCGTCAGCAAACATGACTGAATTTAGTTTGATTGCAAAAATCATTTATATAAATTAGAAACAGAAGTGGACCAAGGATAGATCCTTAGGGAACTCCACA